ATACGCAGTCCGCAAATTCAAGCTCTACCCAGGCCCAGTTATGAAAAAACACGGACCGCGCTCATTATTCGGCGGTCGTAGAAGGTCAAGCGCGGACTTGGTCAGATTTATGTGTCCGTGAATTCTCCGTAGGGGCATTTTTGTCCAAAAAATTCAGCTCAGTATAAATAGATCTTTTTGACATTTTAGGTCAAGTTTTGTTAGAGAGAACACGTGAACGGCTGATTTTTACCTTTTTGAGTAATTCACTACAAGAAAAACGGCCTTTAAGTAAGGGAAATCTGGTCCTTAAAATCCAAAATCATGTCCCAAAAGGGTATATTACGACGGGGAAAAACTGGTCGTAACCCGTCGTAATAGCCTCCGCCGCAAAAAGTCATTAACAACGGGTCTAAAAACCTGGTTGCTAAATCACTTTAGAGACGGGGCAAAAAACTGGTCGTGAAATACTTTTAGAGACCACATTTCTCATCCCTAATAGGCGATGAAAAAATATTTATTCCCGTCGTGAAATCTTTTTAGCGACCAACTGTATCAGGTCCTAAATTGCCTTTTAGGGACGGATAGAAAACCTGGTCGTGAATAACATTTTGAGACTATATTTCTCGTCCCTAATAGACGATGATAAATATATATATTCCCTTCGTTAAATCGTTTTAGCGACCAACGCCAATTGGTCCTAAATTATCTATTAGAGACCAACAAAACATCTGGTCATTAAACCATTTTCACGACCAACCTTTTACTGGTCCTAGATTATTTTTAGAGACGACGTCCCTATTTAAAATAATTTTGTAATTTAGCAAAATATTCATGGTCTATAAATAACCATGAGTAGTCCTAAAAGCTCAATGAAACAAAAAGTAATTTTTATCAATAAATATCAAATTGTTATCGAAAAATCTAGATATAAAAAGATAAGATATCAAGGTCTAATCCAATGATGATGTTACTTTCTATGTTTTCTCAACACCTCAACAAAAAAAAAATTAGCTATCATCCTGTGCTAGACTATCATATTAAGTTTTGCATTATATTTTTAGCAAAATAAATAATGAGCTTGTGCATCTTCTAAGCTTGCATCTTGACTTGTAGCTTCAATCTTCAAAACCTGTAAGTATAAAAGATTAAAAAAAATGATAAACAACTATTGGTAAAATAACATATATAATTTAAAATGAGCAATAGTTAAATCGCTTACCCCAAAAGCAGTCTAAATTCACGAGGTGTTATCCAGCAACATCAACAAGGCTACAAGAATATAAGAAAAATTAATTGGAAAAGCTTTGGAATGGTTAATTTTACTTTGGTTTGATAAATTCCAGTAAGACAATTCGAGATTTACCATTCGAGATTGACCAAGAGCCTGGGAAGTTCAGTTCAATTCAGGCATTCAGGTTTTGAAAATTCAGTCAATGACAAAATACTACTGTTTCATCATTATAGTCATTTCAAACTTCAAAGATTCTAATTTAGGAAATTGCTGTATTTGGCAGACATCTACCAAAGACGCTAGCGATAAGATGTAGTAGAAAAGAGCCAAGTCCATCATGTCAAAAGTGTGATACCTGAACCAAAGTAGCTACCCCAAGCACTTGCAAACATTCATCTCTGGTAATGAAGCCCAAAACCAGTTAAAATCTTTGAAAGATCGTTAATATTTGCATCTTTTAAAAAACTACTTATGTCAGTTGACAAGCACAAAGGAATGGATAGCTTCTTAGGAAACTAGCATGAAAGATCGTTAAAGCTATGACAACACCAAAATAAATCTAGTATTTGAACCTGGATACTAGCAGTAGAGATCTACATGATAATGCAACCAAATAATCTTATAGGAAACAGTCAGGTACCATACCAAAAGAAAAAAAGTAGAAAGCACAATTTCAATATTTGGCTCTTAGTCAAAATCGTAGCCATTTGTAAGAGATCATGAATTTTTGTTTGCGGTTACTGTAGGAGATGGGCAAATTGAGGCTACACGTTTCAGTGGAGCAGCAGGCCTAAAGATAGTTGTTGATCGAGCAGATGCACCTGTGCAAATTGGGAAGTCTACAAATGATCATACTGCAACTGCTGATCGAAGAGTTTCTACAGATTGTAAGGCGGTCAATGTAGAGGATAAATGTACAAGTGCTCAAACTGAAACTGAGCAGGAGACTCTGGCTTAATATGTTGCTGAGGACCAGATTTTAGACAGTAAAATGACTGGGCAAACGGGTGTTGGTATGGAGGTGAACACTGGTAAATCAGTTGGTGCAGGTAAGGGTACTAATACAAATACTAAAGAGGGGGTTTGGAACGTGGTTTCAGCAAGAAAATCACCTACAAAACAGGTGGTATCACCAAGACAAAAACCAGCAAGTTTTCGAGCTACAACTGGGGTGGTTAAAACTAATGCTGATCGAGCAACAGATATAGTGGTAGGATATGTTGACAAATATGGAAGTGAAGCAGCTACTGCATGTTCAATGTTGGAGGCTACTGTAGCGTTGAATATGACTACTGATCGACCAAATGTTAGGGCTACCAAATCTATTGCTGCACTTGTTGATTTTGTTGAAAAACTAGCAGGTGACGTGGAGACACAAAATGGTAGGACTCCTGCAGGTCAGGTTTTTGTAGTTATCAAGGTGCAAGAAGAAGTGGAAACTAAAAATGCAGTCATTTCATTTGGGCACTCGCCTACACATTCTGGAAACTTAAAGCAATGCCAGGTTTTTGGTCGAGCACCTGAAATTTTCAATAGCAACTGTATAAATGCAGGGAACTTTAATGTTCCAAAATATGGGGCTAAGGTTGATGGTACAACTCAGATGTTAGCTGAGAAAGATTGGACAATGGTGTCCACCAAAAAAACCATTTCAAATAAGAACATGCAACCGTTTGTGAATGATACAGCAGAACACAAGGCAGTGGTTAAACAACATGAAAATTGCAGTCCTCGACCTGCACCTATTTTTGGTAATATAGGTTTCATTTCACCTGCTAAATCAGTGGAAAGCTCTGCAACAAATAATACTACAAGTGAACAACTTGAGGGGCAGCAGATACATTTCCAGCTGCATCAATCTTTGATGGGCAATACTAGGACAGTTCCAGATGCAAACACAATACCAGCAGCACGAGATGATTGCGCAATGGTAGGTACAAAACATGATGCAACAGATGTACATGATATTGGGATGTCCAAACAACTAGTTCCAATTACAATCAATGATCAAGTAGGGCCAGGCAGACTGGATTTGGTTAAAAAAGTAGGTGCTCGACGAAATAAATCTTTGAGTAATCTGGAAAAAGAATTAACAAACACCCAAGCCCATAGTTCCAATGCACCTTTAATACACTTTTTCAATCCTCAAGTAGAACAAATCATCAAAGATGTTCAAAAAGAAATGATGCTGAATACTACCATGCTTAAACAACCTTTAGTCACATTGAACACCTCTGTGTTTGATATCCCCTCTCAATCAGTTAATTCCTATGGGGAATTTGAAGGTGAACATGCCTTGTCAACTGGGAACAACAATGAGATCATTCAAGCAAAGGTGAAGGGGATGGCTATTAATTCTAAATTGTGGAAAGAACAACGTGAGGAGGATGAAGAGGAGTGGGGTGATGGTTTTGCTGGATACTCATCGGAAGAAGGAGATCACGAGGTTGATCAAGCTACAGGAAATCCTCAACCAATAAAAGAAACTTCAACAGACTAAGGCAACATGTAGAAAGTTCCACTAATAAGATTAAAAAACATAAGCTAACCAAACATTAATATCCTAAAAACCATACTTGAATCACTTCAGTTCTGTAATATAGAAGTTGACTATACGCAAATATTGAATAAAAATTAAAAAGTTGGGAATATGGTGACTAACTTGGTCAGCAGACAAAAACAGTGGTCATTCAGTTGAAATAGGCGATGTCGTCGTAAGCGGGACATGTGATTGTTGAGCAGTGAAGTACTCTCTCATTTTCCTCATTTCTTTCATCTCATCTTCTATGGTAGACAAGCGCTCATTCAAGGATTTGTTTTCCTCATTCAAATGTAAGAAATTGGCTCCTGATGAGCATCTACTGACCCCAACAGAATCTCAATGTGGACATTATTTAATCAAAGGCTACTTACTATCAAGTTGGCCCCTGATGAGCATCTACTGACCCCAATAGCAACAAGATTATTGGCTGAAGCAAATAAGTGTGACAAAATACTCCTCTACTTGAAGATATTTGCAAGTTTCTGTTTGGTTTGACTTAAACATATACATGTCTAGTCTGACAGCAAAAATGATAAAGAGCAGCAAAAATACTAAAGACTAGTTTTACAAACTTTCTTTGCGACAAATGCTTCAGAAATAAGTACTAGTATAACTTAATAGAGCTGATATTTATGTTGCCGGGGGTTGGAGTTCGAATTCATTCTGTTGATCTAAAGTTGAAGGAAGAATTTTGGTAGACAGTATCCATTACGTGAATCTGAATGTGGAGTTTGAATTCATTCTGTTGATCTAAGACTTTTTATAGCTTCATCGTAGTTCTAACTTTTCTATTTCCCCTTTTCTGGGCTGCCCTTTTTTTAAGCAGATCACAGAAAATGCAGAGAGAAATTTTACCGGTTTCAGCATGTGTTGCTTATCCGATCTTGAAATAGGATAGCTACTCATCCAATAAGTGCTAGTTTTGGATCTTATAACGCTATTTGTAGTGGATTCTTGGGATACTAGCTACTCAATGAAAGAGGAACTAACTGGATTCTTAAAAAAAGATGTAATGTAATGAAGGAACTGAGACCTACAATACAACGTTAACTATGACATTTGTGAAATTTTTATGTTGTACAACAGCTAGTGTTCCTTGTTATTTCAACTGTAGTAACTTCTTCAGCTTCTTTATGGCTAGAATTTCTTACATTGTGTTCAATTCGTATGGAATTAAACGATGTGTTCATTCTCTGCTATAGACGAATTTAACAATTCGTATGGAATTAAATGATCTGAATTAAACTACACATCACAACACATAATTCGATAACTCAAACAAGTGAAACTTAGACGAGAGTTCTTGTCAGCCATCATGTATATCTGAAAGGATCCAGACATAAGCTCTTAAATGACTAGGCATACCTGAAAACTTTCTGAACAAAAATGTTCCTTTACTAACCGCTCCCATTCTTTCTTGTCTACTCCATTTGGAATATTCTTAAGAGCATGTTGGATTGGCTTATCCTTCACATATTTTGCATGCAAGTGTCCTCTCCATTTGTTCCATAACTCTTTCATCCATCCGAAGATATGTTCACGATGATCATTCATGTCAACACTCTCAAATTTATCCTACAATATTCAAAACATGAGTTAGAGTTAAATATTCAATTTTAGTAAATAATCATGATATTGTGTTAGGAGCACATTAAACAGAATCTGTCCCATTTTGATACTCTTTTAGGAGTACATAATCTTGTATAGGCACCAACACAAGGCTTAGACATAAAGGAACAAATAACAAGACATAAAGGAACAAATAACAAGGAACAAATAACAGGGCAGACGAATCTATGATAATAGAACACACAAGGCATAAGCATAGGCTATAAAGGAACAGATGTCAATCCTGATGAGTGGAAAAAGCTCCCATCACATTTCGATTTTCACTTTCCCTACAGGAGGCAATTCCCATAATACAACCATGCTATTAGGAATAGGTCTGAGTTTCTCAACTATTTCACCGATTTTAGGTCAAGACTGATCCAACTTACAGCCCGAGAATGACAATTTCAAAGTTGTTCTAAGGATCCAAAACAATATTTTGGTACATACTACTGTACACCACCTTCTTCTCATCCCTATATTTACATGAACTAATACCTTTTCAGATGCCCCAACATATGGCCAAAAGGGTAATGTTAAGGATCATTTTATGAACTCTATTGACAGTCTTAGTACCAAACCAAATTTGTAAGACTTCTCTGATAGGTTTATTATGATGTCTAATACCTAGAGGACCACCAAAGTATCTCCATATTTTTATACACACCTGACTATCAATAAACACATGCTAATGTATTTCAAATTTTGGAGCAATGCAACAGTGACATTTAGAGACTATGTGATTGCCAAATTTANAAATTACAACTGTAGCTTAAGATAAGATAATTTTTATGATAAATATAATTTATTTTATGATACGCATATAATCATAAGTTATAATATAGATTGACAAAAGTTTCTCAGTAAAAAATAAAATAGGACAAAATATTTGAAGAGAAACAAAAACTGCCTTCATCAGCACAACACTAAGAAAATAATACATCAAAAATTTGATATGTTCTTATTTGTTACATACAGTTCAAATATTAATACACAATCACACAGATATAAATAGAGAATTATAGTAAAAATCTTGATCAAACTTAAAGTGGTTATAAGCAAAAAACTTATAAGCCGGGGTTAACCAACTAATTCCTTTTGGCTTATTTTTGACTTATAAGCACTTTTAACTTTTCCAAAGGCCTATATATGACAGAAAAATGCTTATAAGCTATATCCTGTAATATTTGCGATAACCTGCCAATTTGTTAGACTATCAGAAGTGAAAGAAACTCTGACTCGCTAAAACGGGTCTTAGCACACAGGCGGATTACCCGAAACCATAACCTTTTTCATCCCAAAACAAATTCCTATCCAAGTAATCACCTCTTCCTTCCCCTCTTCGTCATTCCTTCCCCTTCAATAAGCTCTCCTCAGCCCAACAAAAGAACAAGTAATTTTCCTCTCTTTATATTGGCAGATTCTAATTTCACTCTCCTTCTATCGGGTATCAGGTCTGTCTTTAACCCATTTTTCACCTTTTCCTTTCCTTTTTTGGGTTTGTCTTTCTTTTTTATGTGAATGCTTATTTGGGTTTACTTTGCTTTATGAAGACGTTGGATCTTGCTACTGATACAGGTGAAGTTTTGTGGGGTTTTTATGGTATTGGTCGTGTTTTTTCTTTTTTGGTTGGGGGAAGGATTGTAACTTTATTTAGAGGAAAAATTATGTTAAGGTATGTTTTAATTAAATTAAATTGAAAAAAAAAGTGTAGCTTAGGACCTTTTGACTGTTGTTTTTGGAAGTTCCTAGGCCCTTGTTGGAAGTAATGAAAATTGTGCAATTTGAATACCCGTAGTTGGTATTATAGACACTTACTTTTGTTATGCTATATAATATAAGGAGTGTTCTATGGTAGAAGATTGAGTTTGTTCTTGACATACTATGTGGGTGAAACCCAGGAAAGTTTCAGTACAATCTTGAGCTTTATGGATGCTAAACCTATTTACCTCAATATTGTGTCTTATAGTTGGCTTTTGGTATTGGTATGCTCTATATTAACTAGTAGTTTTTACTGTATTTTGAAGAATTTTCTGGAAGAACGCACCATGTCAGACCTTTTTGTTTTGTTTTGTTTACACGAGTACGTCCCCGCTTGTGGGAATTCACATTTTTTGTTTTGTTTTTGTTATTGTTGTTGTTGTACACAAGTACATCAAGGCAGATGAAAAGTCATGGAACAGAAGCTTAAGCTGTCAGCGCCTGAAAATAATACTTAAGTAAATATCAATTTGAAACAGGAAGTAAAACCTTAAAACCAACAAAATCATAGACCCAAAATTACTTACAAGGCGAATTATAGACACTACAACAACAACCCAGTGAAATCCCACAAGTGGGGTCTGGGAAGGGTAGTGTGTACGCAAACCTTACCCCTACCTTATGAAAGTAGGGAGGTTGTTTCCGAAAGACCCTCGGCTCAAGAACGTTTAATGAATTATAGACACTGTTTGGTAAAATCCAGTGTAAGCCGCTAATATCCAGATTAATTAACTTAGTATACCCTATGCTTCCTATTGGAGTCATTATGAGCCTCCTTTTAAGAAGTAATACTTTGGTGACTTCTATTTGGTTGTGCAACAGAATGCTTGTTGCATCTGATCTGGAGTCGGTTGTATTTACATTTTTATAAGATTGTCACCTACACGTTCAATTAAGTTTGTTATTTTAGTTTGACTTTACTGCTATTTTTGAAGATATATGACCTTGGAATGCATAACTGTTTCCTCCAGATTATGGGGCTAGCAGCGAAAAAGGCAAATAATGTTTGGATCCAATTTTTCGCCTTTTCGATGAATAAAGCTCTTGTGTGTCAGGCTTTGAATTATTAACTGATCTGCTTCAGTGGGAAGTTTAGGTTCAATGGTGGTTGTTTCTAGATGTCTGAGTTATAAAAGGTCAAGATGGACATGTTGATTGCTAATTTCCCCCTCATATGCATCTTATCCTCCTTGTCTACTTTCTCATAGTGCCCAAGATGAACTTTCTAATGTCTTATTAAGAGAGTCGGATGTATAGAAAAAGGAATGCGCGAGAAAATGTGGTTTGCTGTGGGCAGTTAAGACGGAATTGACCTTCTAAATGCATTTCCTAATTTTGTGGTATTTTGTTACCTTCGGAAATATAATCTGGAAATTTGTAAAGTAGAACTTTAGTTGCCTAGGCACCAGGAGTATCCTAGGCTGGACAGGAACAGATAGTGAACCATAAAGATAAAATCCCTGAGCAAAGAGTACAGGGGATTTGCAGGTTTGCAGGTTTCACTCTCCACTTAACTGCAAGGGGATAAAATCCCTGAGCAAAGAGTAAAGATAAATCGGTAATTTTTCACTCTCCACTCAACTGCAAGGGGATTTGCAGGTTTCCAAGATCAGAGAAGAGACATTAGCCAAATCCCTGAGCAAAGAGTACATGCAAGTTTCAAACATAATAGGGAGGCAGGTATTTTGGCTTTTTCTCACACGAAGAATTAAAAGTAGTCTGTGTAACAGATGATGACACCGAGAATGATTGGAAACTCCAGTTACAAATTAATAGGCATTAGTAGAAGCATAATTAACTGCCCATCACTCAAGCTTTCAAGACACTTCACTTGACTTGGTATGCCTACATCTACATCCAACTTAAAAGTTGGGATGAGAAGTTTCTTCCTGCTAGCAGTCTGAAAGTATTTGTAATCAACATGCTGTTTGAGATTGTCATAATTTGTTATATCATTTGCTTCACCGCAGAAGATTCTTTTTATGTTGATAGGGATTCCCATTCATCCCTAACTGATCATTTTTAGGTTCTTAAATGCTTGTAGTCCACAATGCACAGGCACCACAATGTGTTTTAATTTTTTGGTATTTTCACCCCTTTCTTTCTTTGTCAAAATGTGCTATGTGCAATAATGTTTTCAGTAAATGGATTTCTACTATATTGTTTATATTGGCTTACTATATCTTATGATATACTTAAAATTATTCATTGGAGTATTACAAAATGCCAACCAGAAATGGTCGAGAGAATGATGGTTGCTCGTAGGAGTACTTCTCCAATCTGGGGGTCTAAAAGGCTTGAGGTATATATGATCTATTCTAAATCATCTTATATTCAACTTGAGGTATCAGTCAGAGATTCGTTTCACTCGTTGTGATTCCTACATAGAGGCATAAACAGGAACACATGTATTCAACTAAATGATATGCATCTTCACTGTATAAATATCTTGCTTACCTCAATAGCTGCCCACATGTGATTCAGCTTTTCTTCCTTAATATCATTCCACGATGATACTCCCAACGGACACATATTACGGTCACGAACGATTCTTCCCAAGTGCCTCGAAAACAGTTTCCTATTTGTTCCAACTGTTCGATTATTGTAAAAGGTTACTTTCAGCTTTTGTACGACTTCAAGTGATGCAACTTCTTTGCACTTGTTCCTCCCTCGAACTCTCTTTACCTTTCCAGGATTAGATGAAGAACCTACAGCTGAATAATTTGGTAAAAAGTATAGCAATAAAATTCAGTTCTATAAATTAAAAAAATATTGATTCAAAATATCATACCTGTTTCAGTTGCTTGAGAGTGTTGCATAACTTGATTAGTAGATGGAGGCAATGAAATATTGGTTTGCATATGCTCTTTCTCAAGGACCAAGGAGTTTTTATCCATTGTTCGCATTTCTTGGTTAGAAGACATGGTAAAATTCGATCTTGTACTTTTAGAAATCCCTGAAGATGAGCACAAAGATCTAGGAGTTTGCTCCCGTCCCTTCCCTATAGAACCTAGACCAAAAAACCATTTTAGTTTGGCATTTAATTTAAGCAATATATGCTATTAAAAATACCAGAGATTTGGAAAAACTTACTTGCTTCAACTTTTTGGGTATATTGCTTAACTTGATCAGTAGATGGAGGCAATGGAATATCAATTTGCATATACTCTTTCTCAAGAACGATAGAGTTTTTATGTATCATTCCCGTTCCTTGACTAGCAGACATGGTAGAGCTTTTAAGCCCTTGTCCTCGTCCCTTCCCAATAGCACCTGGCGAAACGAAATCATATTACTAATATTTAAACATTAAAATTTAGTTGTACACATTAAAAACAGTAGATTTAAAATATCTTACTTGTTTCAATTGTTTGGATGTATTGCTTAACAAGATCACTAGATTGAGGAAATAAACTCTTAATTGGCATATTCTTTTTCTCAACCAAAGATCTAAGCCCTCGTCCTCGTCCTTGTCCCTTTCTTATAGCACCCGGTGGGACGAACGCATATTTGGTTGTACTCTTCATAGTTGATTCCACCTCATTTTCAGTCTTTGATGGTTTCATATTGAACCTGCAAAGAGCCAAAAGTAAAAAATAGTTAGACAACGTGTGACAATATAGTATTGAAAGAAATCATGCCATCAGTATATGTAACAATGAATATACTAATTCATAAATAGATACTTCACCTCATCGGTTCTTTTTCGTTTCTTTTGTGAAGGATTTCCTAAGTCTACAATATCATCATCCATTTGTTTTACTATCTCAGAGGAATCACGAGGTTGAGTCTTCCTCACTACATGCCAACCTTTGTTGGAGTTATCAATAGCATAAAACACTTGAGATGCTTGCTCCGCTAAAATAAAAGGCTCATTTGTTTTCAAAATTCTCCCTGGATTAACACTCACGAAGTTATACTCATCTTTTTAACTCCCTTTATTTTATCATACACATCAAACCAATTACATCGAAATAAAATCACTCTTCTATCCATGAGAAATTGCAATTCAATCACATCTGTTAAAATTCCATAGTAAAACGTTCTCACTATCTTTATCATTCTCGCCAACTACAACAACACCACAATTTTGAGTCCTTAAATTTTTATCATAGTCTTCTAGATGAAATCTATATCCATTAACAATATAACCATTAAAATGTGTCGTATATTGGGTAGGACCACGTGAAAGTGAGAGCAGATCTTCCATGATCCGACTATCATCTCCTTTATGCAATTGTGCAACCTATCAATAAGATTAAGTTGAATAATTTAGAATTAGTAATACACCATTAAAAATTCAAATTTGATTTTTATGTATTACTCACCCTAACTTTAAACCATTCAATAAATTGTCGGTTCCATTCTGCATCAGACAAGTGTTGCACAGTATCCACATGTGTTTGTGCAAACTCTCTACAAATTTGAAGTGAACCATAAATGTCATATAAAAATATTACCCTAAAGGAAATAAGAAAAATGAGACGATATGAAAGAACTCTCCATACTCGTGATATGGTATGACTTCATCGCAATTCTTCAGTATGTATATATGTGCTTGTTCCAATTCATTTGCTTCAAGATCACATTGTTCTTTAGCTCCCAGAGTACTTCCAGGTTGATAGAACATAGATAAACCTCCATTAGATTTTTTTCAAACCCCCGTCATAATTTCGTTCAGGTCGATTGAATTTTGTGTCAATCGTATGAAGATACCGTGAACATAAAGTCATACATTCATTTGCAATGTAGCCCTCTGCAATAGAGCCTTCTGGACACGCCCTATTACCAATCAGAGATTTCAAAAAAAATAACCATCGTTCCACAGGATACATCCACCGATAATGAATAGGTCAACCAATCTCAGCTTCACTAGCTAAATGAATAGGCAAGTGCACCATGACATCGAAAAATGAAGGAGGGAAGACCTTTTCTAACTTGCAAAGCGCTATGGGAATTTGCGCTTCAATTTGTTTCAAGTCATCAATCCTTAACTCTTTTGATCCAAGCACATTAAAGAATAAAGATAACTCAATAAGCGGTTCACACACTTCTTTGGATAACATACCACGAAGTGCAAGGGGGAGTATATGTTGTAGAAGAACATGGCAATCATGACTTTTCAACCCAGATATCTTGTGATCTTTTAGGTTCACACATTGAGAAATATTAGATGAAAACCCATCAGGAACCGTTAAATTCTTTAGGAATTGGCATAATTTGTGCTTACTTTCAGGAGGCAATGTGTAGCATGCAGTTGGAACTTCAACTTTCTCCCCTCTTTGGATGGGGTGCAATTCCGGCCTAATATTCATGTCTTGCAAGTCTAATCTAGTATTAATTGTATCCTTGGTCTTTCCTTTGACATTCATGATTGTTCCCATAATATTATCACATATATTTTTTTCAATATGCATAACATCCAAATTATGCTGCAACAAGAGAGACTTCCAATATGGAAGTTCAAAAAAAATACTTTTCTTGTTCCAATTATCCTTTCGATTTTCATGTGATATCTTCTTCTTTTTCTTTGGATCATTTGTTAACTGTATCCCTTCAAGATCTTGCACTTGATTAAGTATCTCAATACCAGACTTCATTTTTGGGGGGAGCCTTTTCTCTTTTGTACCATCAAATGAATCCTTGTCATTCCTCCATTTGTGGCTAAGAGGAAGGTAGCGTCGATGACCCATAAAGCATTGCTTCTTACTATTAGCCAATCGAATTGAGGAGGTGTCTTTATTGCAACATGGGCATGCCAACTTTCCTTTTATACTCCATCCAGATAAATTTCCATAGGCTGGAAAGTCATTGATGGTCCATAACAAAGAAGCATGCAACTTAAAATTCTGTTTAGATGATGCATCAAAGGTCTCAATGCCAACTTCCCACAACTCCTTCAATTCTTCTATTAAAGGTTGAAGATATATATCAATTGCATCTCCTGGACTATCTGGACCTGGAATAAGCATTGACAAAATAAAATTTTCTTGTTTCATACACAACCAAGGTGGTAAATTATAAGGAATAAGAACCACAGGCCAAATGCTATATGAGGTTTTTGAATTACGAAATGGCTGAAATCCATCACTAGCAAGTCTAAGTCGGACATTACGAGGCTCTGTCGCAAATGAAGGATGAAGTTCATCAAATGACTTCCACGCCATTGAATCAGCTGGGTGCCTCATTATTCCATCATCAACTCTTTTATCTTTATGCCATGTCATTAAAGTAGATGTCTTTGTAGACATAAACAACCTCTGAAGCCTAGGCTTTAATGGAAAATAGCGTAAAGTCTTTGATGCTATCTTCTTACCTTTTTTATTCCTTGTTTCCCCGCTATGTCTATCTATTTTCCATCTAGACGCACCACAAACTTTGCAAGAATCAAGTAAACTATCCTCCTTCCAGTATAACATGCAATCATTAGTACAAGCATCAATCTTGTTGTAGGAAAGGCCAAGGTCTTGAATTATCTTCTTTGCCTCATAATACGATTTTGGCAAATCGGCACCATCAGGTAACAACTCCTCTTTTAACATTTTCAATAACATTGTGAATGACTCATTACTCCAACGACCTATTGAAGCAATTTAATCGAAAGCTTTGAAGCTTTTGAATTTTGGTACAGTGGCTGCTCGAAATCCTTCAATAGCCTGTAAAATCTTTTTGCTTCAATATTTGGTTCCTCTTCAATTAAATCATCACAATCAGTGTGCACGGTTCTTCCATCAATATTAGGATATAGATCTCTCAACAATTCTTGTACTTCATCTTCACTTTCACATTCTTCTAGTTTATCACCGTCTTCATCTTCTGATTCTGACAGTGGCTCACCTAATTTTTCCCCGTGATGATACCAAAAAGTATAATTTTGAATTATTCCATATACTTTCAAATGTGTCTCAACTGTCTTACGAGTTCCTAAAGTTGTATTACAACATTTGACACACGGACAACGTATTTCATATTCTTCTCCTGTTTTTTGAAAAGCATAATCCAAAAACTTTTGCACTCCGATTAAGTAGGCTTCATCGAGCCGATTATCAACAAGTTGCATCCATTGCTTACTAGGTGCCATAACCTTGGAGAGTAAATAAAAATGAAATTAAATAAAGATAAAAGATAAGAAAAATACTACGATGCACACTACTTGTTACGATTAGATGAACATAACCGATTCAACTCTAAGGTCTCACTTTCTAGTCGACTCGGCTCCTCTGTTTTCAGCTCAAAGAAATTTTTATTTGCTAGATGACAGAATAACAGAATAACGAAACTCAGGAAAACGTGAACTGCACAAAAATATTCACAATGTAAGTAGTATAAACTTTCAGAAACAACAAGAATAATCAGTTTATACATAAAACTAGGGCAGCCCCAAACAACAAACTTGAGCAAACTTTCAGTTTTTTAATCAGCTTATAGAAGAAATCCCAACCAACAAACTTGAGCAAACTTTCTGTTATTTAATCAGCTTATAGAAGAAATCCCAAACAACAAACTTGAGCAAACAACAGTAAAAATTATAGCAGCCCAAATATTCTCAAGATTAATCCCTCGCTGAATACATAAAACTAATATGCCATTCATGGAATAATTAGCTTTCAAAACCAGACGATTCTCAAAGGAGGCATACCTTGGAATAATTAGCTTTCAAAACCTGACTAATGCCATTCATGGAAGAAGAAGAAGAAAGAAGAAGAAAAAGAGCAACTTGAAAGAGGAGGCATACCTTGGATTCTCAAAGGAGGAGATGGAAACTAGGGCAGATGATCAGATCAGTTGATCGATTTTGGCTCGCACACGACCAGACGAGCAGACGGCTCTAACGCTAGCTTGACGGAGATTAGGGCAGAGGATTCTAGCGGCACTCTGTTTTGAGATAACAGAGGTTTAATTTTGTTAAAACCTTTTATTTTTTAGTTTTGGCGCCTAATTTTTAGAAAAAAATAATTTTTTAGTATTTTGGTATTAGATTTGGCGGGACTCTCTCACACTCAAGGCCTCTCAATTATAATTTGGGACCAGTTACTATTTTTTTTAGGGACCAGATTTATTACCTTCGCAATAAAATAAAGCATTAAGGACCGCAATATAATCTCGTCCCAATACATATATTATTAGCGACGAGATTATTTACTCGTCCCTAAAAGTTGGTCGTAAATAAGGCTTTTTCTTGTAGTGAATATCGAGCATGATCCGCGCCGTAATATCCGGCTAATGGCAGATATCTCGGCTCTCCGTTTGTCTTGTTTAACCGTTTTTCCTTTAACTTCAATTCTTCGTATTGCTCGAGTTGGAATCTTTCCAGGTTCAACCATGCTCGATCCCCGACGTATCATTCGTTTGCTCTTAATTGGTTCCAATCTATGGACACCCTCGGTCTTACTTGAGCTAGTAACGAATGACGTTGCTCCCCGCTTCTCAACGAAAAATTGGGGGTAACTTCATCCCCAATTTTACCCCGTACACAAATATATTTACTTTAGGGTCCATGTTCGCTAAAGTCTTTGGTATTGTTAAGGACTCATATGTCCCTGAAATGTAAAGAACTAATGTTAAGGAAGCTTATTAATTGATATTGGACTAAGTTCTAAATTTAATAGCAAAATTGTTTCATATATATAAATAGCCCAACTTATACTTGGGATTAGGACATGTTATTATTGTTAGATTTCGTAGAGCAACATTCTATCCTCCACCACTTATGTAAATGGATTGCCATCCAGCCATCCTGATTTACTTAACACGTCTACTGCTCCAAGTTAGATTCACTTATTGCCACCTAACTTCCTTTCCTTTCACCTTTCTCCTTTCTCCTTTCTCTTCTATATCATTCATTGGCCACCTTATATCCCAAATATTAAAATAAAGACAAAAAAAGTTAAAGAAATGTGGCGTCCAGAAAAAGGCCTAACAAGAAATCTAAAGGACTAAAACCAAATAGTCAGCTACACCAACCTGCCTCAACCACGAAGAAGCAAAAACAAAACCGAGTATGGTGTACCATTAAACACGCAATCTGCTATTACGCGTGAGTCCCTTTTTTCCCCATAGAGGGGTGTCTGTCTAACTTGTTATCCGTAATGCAATGTTATTATTAAAATAAGGGAAAACTCCAAGGAAATTCGCAGTCGCTATTTTTTGGGTGCGCACAGGGTAACCTGTTTACTGTATAATAGCTCACAAACTACAGAGAAAATATAAATCGCATTAGGCAGCCCGGTGCGACAAACTCTGACTGAGAAAGCTGCTAGTGAAAGAAATCGATCTAATGCAACTTTATTTAAAACGGTCTTTTAAAGCTTTTTATGAGGTGTTTTTGGATGATAATAATGTACACTTTTTAAATCCTCACCACATTTTCTTCACGTGTCATTGCACTATGATTGAGCTATGAGTGAAATAGATAGAGAATATACTGCCAAAACATGATTCACGAAGACGTTGCATAATCCGATTGATTATCCTCATGAAAAATGTACGCGTATCCAGGATCAAGGGAACCTCATATACCTAGATTGGATATCCCCTCTTCACATATTCCTTTCTTGATACTTTGATTCTGCTACTAGTTATTCCAAAATCCCTGCGTGCCTGCAGTATTGCATGAACATACCCGTAAAATTTTCCTTTATACACTGATAATATATATCATGTCACCTTTTTAGGTTATCTAAAATAACACTATGTGTGACATCCATAAAAAGATGAGATTAGTAATCTAAAAGATAAGGCACCAAAGGTGTAGTTTAGTAGTCAATGAAGTGGGCTGAGAACTATAAAGTCTCAGGTTCAAACCATAGCGGAGATTAAAAAAATACTAGGTGATTTCTTGCTATTTTTTCAAGCCTTAGGGGACAGAGTTACTTGGTATCTGTTGGGGGTGGGACGCAGCAAGTATCCCGTAAAATTAGCTATGGTGCGCACACGATTATTAAAAAAGATAGTAACCCAATAAATAAAGTAAGTTATCTATTACATTTAAAAGAAATTGATAGTGCAAAAATACATTACGTTGTAAGTGTACGCATATAAGGTAAATTCGGAGCCATATATATTAGTAGAAGTATTTGGAAGAACATGAGCCCACTATGTTTGTCTTTTTAGTCAAGTTGCATTTAGAATTATGCTAGAGTATTACTTTCTAACCTATGAGTCTAATTGACCTCCACACATTCAGAATCCTCATCTACGTGCCTCAACCATCTTCTCTATATCCTTATATATTCCAATAGAAAATAGATAAATTAAAGTACACGAAAAAAAAAAAAGAAGAAAAAAGCAACATCCTCTTGCTTTTTTTTTTTTTTTTTTTTTTTTTAAAAAACTAATAATATTGTACTCTCTCTTTTAGCTCATAGATTTTGGTAGTTAAGTGAAAGTCAGGATGCTGGAAGGCAAGGCAATAATTGGAGACACAGACATGCTCGCAACCATGCAACGAGATGCCTTAGATTTAGCTGCAAAGGCTCTTGATTTTTTCGATGTCACTGAGGCCACTGAAATTGCCCGCTACCTTAAAAAGGTACTCCACATGATAGATTAAACTTTTTTTTCTTGTCCTGGTTTTTGTGTTTTTATTTTTCCCATCAAATTTCTTAGACTAGAGTTTACGGTGGCTAGAGGCGAATTTAGGATTTAGACTTGATAAGTTTAATTCAAAATTTAATATTTCTTACAATTCTAGTAATTTATATGGAGTATATAAGTTTCGTTATCAAAAATATTGGATTATGTTGAACACTTAGCTTGTTATCTACATCCACCCTTGGCTCTGGAAAATCAAGAAATTTTAATAATTGGACTCAAAATACTATAGACTTCCACAACTAGAAGACAAATCGGCGACCTTGAATCTTTGAGTCATATTTATCACTGTATTTTTTTTTTGGTTAAAGGGGATTGAATTGAATCCCATATCATGAGCACGAAGAGACATATTAAATAAAAGAGTTTGGATTTTGTTGTGTTGGATGCAGGAATTTGATACGATGTATGGACCGGGTTGGCAATGCATAGTAGGGACTGACTTTGGTTCATTTGTAACTCATTGCTATGGTTGTTTCATCCATTTTTACATTGGCAGCCTTGCCATTTTGCTCTTCAAAGGCTCAGCTGCCCTGGAGGACGCCAAAGCTGAGGCTGACCGATTTTCCGCTCTGCAGGAAATAGCGTGAAGTCGCACGCCACTCAGCCATATCTCCAAGTTGTTGATCAGAATAGAATTGGACGGGCTGAGCGTGATGTCACTTCTCCATTTTACCATTCTCAGCCAGGACCTACTCCAATGTACAATATTAGGAAAAGATGGAAAAAAATATATTAGGATCTTCCAAAGTTTTTCCGATTAATTATTTTCGGTTTATCTCTTACCATTTTGGTTTACAAGTTATATATGTCCATTCTCTTTGGTCATGATCATTATAGTTTTGCTTTATGATTTTGATTTGTTGACTATTCTATTTTACAATTCTTTGATAGTGTTACGATCTCAATTTTCCACCTTACGATGTCGTCATGACACTTAGTGTCTAACATTAGGTAAGCCTAACACATGCTAATTTAATAACAGAATTGAACTACTTAATCATTTATCATACACCATTAAATGACATACATAGTCGCAAGCGACCAATAGTTATATATTTCCCAAAACTGGTAGTACTGAGTCATAAGCACTACTAAAACACACTAGAATCTTTAAACACAATATTATTTTGGATTACAATTTAACAGCATAATGAAGTAAGATGGTGACTATGAGGCCTGCGAACATCAAGTAGGTATACCTTGAAGTCTCACGCCGTGCAGACGCAACTCTCATCAACACAGATGGTGACTATGAGGCCTGCGAACATCAAGTAGGTATACCTTGAAGTCTCACGCCGTGCAGACGCAACTCTCATCAACACAATCATAATACCTATATCTGCAGAAAAATGTGCAGAAGCGTAGCGTGGGTACATCACAACGGTACCCAGTAAGCATCAAGCCTAACCTCGGTAGAATAGTGACGAGGCCAGGTTAAAGACACCTACTAGACATAGAAACCTGTTCAAGCTATACATAAGATAACAATGGAAAGAACATCAATGTAAGACCAACAACGGAAAAAATTATTGATTTACAACCAACAATGAAGTAATGTAATAGAAACATATATAAATGGTAGCAAGTAGTAAACGAGTAATAAAGAAACAACATAGTCAGAACATGTCACGACCCGGATTTTCCACCCTCGGGAGTCGTGATGGCGCCTACTAATGTGAGCTAGGCAAGCCGAATATTTAATAAATTAACTTTTTACCCATTTTATACTCTTTAACAATTAAAAAAATAATGTAAAAACAGCGGAAAATTTAAAATAAGCAGAAGAGAAGCAATAGAATATCTGAACATGTATCCAAAACAACTGTTTGAGCCTCAACTACCCAGAACTGGTGTCACAATTTCACAAACGATCTAAGAATACTACATACAAAGTCTAAAAAATAAACGATACACTGTTTCGGAATTAAGGAAATGAAACAGGAATAAAGGGATAGAGGGAGACGCCAGGGCCTGCGGACGCCTGCAGGTCTGCCTTGGATCTCCGCGTGGACTGAAGGTAGCCACTCAATCTACGGTCCAAAGTCAACAGCACTGGGATCTGCACAAAAGAGTGCAGAGTGTAGTATCAGCACAACCGACCCCATGTGCTGGTAAGTGCCTGGCCTAACCCCGGCGAAGTAGTGACGAGGCTAGAACCAGACTACCAAATAACCTGTGCAATTCAACTATATACAGCGGAAAAAAGATGTACAGAAATAAACAGTCAAGTATGAAAATGTGCACGGCATCACCCTTCGTGCTTTTACTCTCGCCCTCACCATATAATCATTATAATCGGCACAGAATGGTATATCGTGCGGCACGGCATCACCCTTCGTGCTTTACACTCTTTCCTCACAAATCATACACGGCATCACCTTTGGTTCTTTAACACTCTCTCACCAAAACAATACACGGCATCACCCTTCGCGCTTTAACTCTCTTCCTCATCCAAACAACAATCACAAACAATAGGGCAAGGAAATAAAAGAAGTTAGAATAAGAATCCCGGCAAGGGAACAGTAATTCAACAACAAGTCCCGGCAAGGGACAGCATCAAAACAACAACAATATCCCGGCAAGGGAGACATGCTTTTCTATTTTTCTATTTTACTTCACAACTCACTTTACAACTTGAGCCAATGCTCTAATAGGGTTCAATTTACCTCTTACATTTCCACTTTTCATTAAACGACTTGAGCCAACACTCCTCAATATTCAATGCCACAATTACTTCCCAAACTTTGCCAATAATAGAAATCATCACCAAAGCATGAACAACACAACGAAGTCATAAGAATCACAATATAAGACTCACGGGCATGCTTGACACCAACGTATAGATCCTCGGCACCATGCCTATACGTCGTACTCGACAAACACCACATAGCAAATAAGACTCGACTCCTAATCCCTCAAGCTAAGGTTAGACCAAACACTTACCTCGATTCCACAAACACAATTCACGTCTCAATTATCGCTTTACCCCTTGATTCCACCACCAATTCACTCGTATCTAGTCACAAGTTACTTAATTACATCAATAAACGCTAAATGAATCAATTCCAATGCATGAAAATGAATTTCCCAAAGTTTTACCCAAAAAGTCAAAAATTGCTCCCGGACCCACATGGTCAAAACCCGAGGTTCGAACCAAAACCCGATTACCCATTCCCCTACGAACCCAAATATATAATTTGTTTTGAAATCGGACCTCAAATCGAGGTCCAAATCCCCAATTTTTTGAAAAACCTAGGTTCTACCCAAAACACCCAATTTCCCCCATGAAAATCATTGATTTTAAGTTAAAATCATGTTAAAAGATATTAATGATTGAAGGAAATGAGTTAAAATTGACTTACAATCGATTTGGAAGAAGAGTTATTCTTGAAAAATCGCCCTAGGGAGTTTATGTTTTGAAGAGATGTGAAAAATGGTTGATTTTCGGCTAAGTATAAAAATTGCAGGTTGCAGTTATGGGAATTGCGAACCCAGGCTTCTGCTATGTTGGGAATTGCGAACAAATTCTCGCATTTGCGAGTTGGGAATTGCGAACACTGTGTCGCATTTGCGACAACTGGCTAAGAGGGGGAAGCATCGCATTTACGATAAAATCCTCGCAATTGTGAGATAGACTGGCCTGGGCTACTTTCGCAATTGTTACATAGCCCTCGCATTTGCGATATCGCATTTGAGAGCCAGGCTTCGCAAATGCGAAGCCTGCAGGCCTGCACACAAAACAGCTGTAGCCTGCAATTCCTTAAGTCCAAAATCCACCCCGTGGCCAATCCAAAACTCACCCGAGCCCTCGGGGCTCCAAACCAAACATGCAAACCAACCTAAAAACATCATACAGACTCGCTCGTGCATTCAAATTACTAAAATAACATCAACAAAGAATTTAGCATCAAAATCATAAAATTTTCTTAAGAACTTCAAATTTCTATTTTTTCTCAAAAACGATCCGATTCACGTCGTTTCAAGTCCGTTTCATACCAAATTTCACAGGCTTATCTTAAATCACATATAAGACCTGTACCGGGCGCCGGAACCAAAATACGGGCCCGATTCCATCAAGTTCTAATCAGAATTTATTTCCAAATCTCATAAATAATTTCAGAAAACAATTTTCTTTAAAAATTTATTTCTCGGGCTTGGGACCTCGGGATTCGATTCGGGGCATACGCCCAAGTCCCATATTTTCCTACGGACCCTACCGGACCGCCAAATCACGGTCCAGGTCCGTTTACCCAAAATATTGACTGAAGTCAACTTAATTCATTTTATAGTCAAAATTTATCATTTTTCATAGATTTTCACATAATGGCTTTCTGGCTACGCGGCGGTACTGCGCACGCAAATCGAGGTGATGCCGAAAGAGGTTTTTAAGGCCTCGAAAGGCAGAATTTACTTTTAAAACAAGTAATGACCTTTTGGGTCATCACAGAACACCGATGAGTTGTAAATGAACTCAAATAAGGAAAAAACGGACGACAAATCAAATAATCAAATCGCTCCCAATGCATGGACTTACAGTAAGAGTTACCCCGAGGAACTACACCTCATAAACCACAAGTCATAAACCACAATTTCTAAATCTTACACATATGGCTCCTCGTGCCCACAATAACAACCACATTCGCACGGCAAAGCCCACGTGCTACCATGTACTTTGCAACCGTGATGAATATTAATTTAGATGAACAAAAGATATATTTAGACAACATAAGACATAATAACAATCTTGAATAATGTAAGATGTCAAATGAAATAATGAGTTTATTTTGAAAATCAAGTAAAGTAAAATAATATACAATTGTACGAAATAGAGTATATGTCACGACCCAAATCCCCGCTCTGGTCGTGATGGCGCCTCTCGTGAAGACAAGGCCAGCCAACTAACCCATATCGCCTTTTCAAAAATAGTTAAACATGAATAAGCAGTCTAAATATAATTTAATAATATTAATTAGCGGAAGTACAACCCAACACAATCTTAATCGGGGTGTCACAAGTCACGAGCATCTATGAGAGGGTAAATACAACTACAAGGCCAAAAAATACACTGAACAGGAATAATGAACAACAGAGAGGGAAGCGGTGCTGCGAACGCTGGCAGTCACCTCGCTAAACTCCTATAGCTCTGCCTCCAATCAGCCAAAACCCGCTACTGGGTGAATAAATACTTGCATCTGCACACGAGGTGCAGGGAGTAAAGTGAGTACTCCAACTCAGGAGTAATAAAGGTAAATAACAACTGAGTAGTAAGAAATCACGTAAGGCAAATCATCATGCTGTATAGAGCAGTGTAAAACCCTCTTTAGAAAACAGTGAAGCTGTGAAATCCTTAGAAAACATCTTGGCTCAGTTTAAACCTCTTTTAGAAATAACTTTTTCAGCGGTTACACAATTGAATGCAAAACAATAGTGCAGATAAATACAGAAACTCGCCCCTCGGGCACAATACTCAGTTTTCAGATAATGCTAGGCAATCAGGTAGGTATTTCATGAAGTAGCACAGACAACAGATAATGGCAGAAAAATGAAACAAAGTAAACACATAGAACAGTACCAGTACCGCTGCGGCGTGCAGCCCGATCCACATATCACTGCAGCGTGCAGCCCGATCCATTTATCGTCGACGGCGCTCACTGGGGGTGTGCAGACTCCGGGAGGGGCCCCTTACGGCCCAAGTGCAATATCAAGCCATCTTGTGGCATCAAATGTAGGCCCTTGGCCTCATACCAGTATCAGTATAACACTGCTGCGGCGTGCAGCCCGATCCGTATATATATATATATATATATATATATATATATATATATATATATATATATATATATATATATATATATA